CCACCTTCCCAGAAAAAGGCATCTTCCCACCCTCACCCCCCACCCAGCCACTCAAAGGACAGGCAGGTATCCTAGGACCAACACGGCTATTGAGGTCACATTGTGGGTAGGGGCGTCACGAGGGTCTGGGGAACCGTGTGCAGGCAGGCAGACCAGCAGCCAGTGCAAAGGCCCTGAGGTGAAATGGCTCCTGTGGTTGGAGCCACATGGGGCGTCAGGTGAGAGTCTGCAGGGCTGAATCCCACCAGGCCTTGCTGGCTGTGGGGGGAGCCCTGGGCGCCTCAGGGGTCAGGATTGCAGGTACAGGCAGCCCTCTGGAACTGGGGCGTTTTCCAGGGAGGCCCTCCCCAGGCCCAGCCCACAGCAGCTCCACCAAACCTGGCCCGGTGACTTTCGAGGGTCCAGGTCCTAGGCCTGCTCCCAGGCGGTGTGGGAGGTTGCCCCGGGGGGCCCTCTAGGTGAGATCCCCGAGAGGCCTGTCTGAGCTCCACCCCGTGCAGGGCCTGCCAGGCTGGGTGGAGAAGGAGGACCTGATAGGTCCGCCCCACCCCCCGCCTTCCGCCCGGCCCAGCCTGCACCGGTGCACCTCCTCGGTGGGCAGGGCCCCTTGACCTTGGAGGTCTCCCGAGCTGGCGCGCCTCCCCTGAGCCCCGCCCGTTGTTTTGTCCGTGCGGCCGCCAGGCGGCGCCCGCGGGCCGGTTTCGCGGAGCCCCGGACGGCCCAGTGTGGAGGGAGCGGCCCGAAGACGGGCAGGGGCGGCAGGCTGCGCAGCTGTCGCGCCTGGGCCGCTGCCGAGCGCACCTGCCCTCACGGTGGTGGACAGGTGGCTGCGGCGCCGCCAGGCTGCGGCCTCTGCCCCCGAATGGTGCATGGTGCTCTCGGTGACCCGTCACGCCACGACCACGCGCCACAATCGGGGTCGCATGGAGCCCTGAGGATCTGGCAGCTTCTGACTGGCCCCTCGGAGTTGGGGGTCTAGGAAGACTGTCTCAGGCACCGGCAGGCCCACCCACCGACAGCCCACGTGGCCCACACCATCAGGGTGGAGCTGGCAGTCTGCCAGGCAAGGGGGACCCTGTCTGCCCGCACAGGCTGGTCCCTCCCTTCTGGGTAGTTGGGGCTCAACCTTCAAACCCAAACCAAATGCCACTTCTTTCAAATGCCACCTCCCGGACCCGAGATCTATGTGCTGGGCCATCGGGGCTCTGTGATGCTTTGGCCTTAGACAGGCATCCCCTGGAGCTGGGCCATCCCCATCCCATCCTCTGTCCTGGGGCCCCACTGGGGCTCCTGTGTTTTGGCATCCAGGGCAGGAGAGCTGAGAAAGCCAATTGAAGCTGGAGAGAAGGAAGGAGCTGGAAGCTCTGCAGTGTGTGGGCAAGCCTGGGCTGGGGGCCTCAGGAGAGGCTGCTGTGGGCAGCGGGAAGAGAGGGCTGGTCCTCACCCTCCCTGGGCCTACCCCAGTGCTCCCGGGGCTCAAGGAGCCCTGTCAGGCCTTGTCCTACTCCGGATCTCAATTTTCCCCAGCAGACCTCCCAGGGCCCATCCCAGGCTGACAGGGTCCCCACCCTGCACTGTGGGGTTGGCAGCAACCAAGACAGCTCAGGTGACGGTGTACCAGGCAAAGGTCACCTGTTACTATGTCAAGCAGGCCTCCAGAGGCTGGCTCCATGCTGCCCACAGAAGCCAGGTGGGGCAGGCTATGGGGGTGATGGCATGGCCCCAGCAGCCTTGCTCCCCCAATGTTGGCTGCCTCCTGTTTGCCCTTTCTCCCTCACGATCTAGGCATGCCCCCTGCTCCAGCCCACCCACCTGTCTGTCCATGAAGCCCCCCTCCCTCTGCCGCCCCTCCACTGAGCCCCGGCCCAAGGAAGCTTTGTGGGGCCTCTCAGCACCCACTCCCCCGCTGCTCTGAGCCAGGCCCTGCCCTTCGAGAACACCCTCTGAGCCTGCCTCACACAGCAGCGCTTACCCCAAAGGACAGGTGCGCACACGGGGTCACAGCCACCTGGGCAGGTGCAGTCAGAATCGCACTGGGACCCACCTGTTGGTAAGGGAGCCGTCCCATTTCCCAGGCCTCTCCTGCTCCTCAGGAGCCAGCACCTGCACAGACTCAGGTGGGCTTGAGCACCCCTGGCCAGCCCTGTATTGTCAGACGGGAGGCTGAGACGGGATCAAAGTGCCCAGCTGTGACCCTCAAAGAAGACCTGGGTGTGCTCCCCCAGGAGCAGCCCAGCCTCTCCCCAGGGGGCCTCCCTAGGAAACTCACCTCCTCTGCCCCTCTCCCGCCCACCCTCAGTGGGGTCCTTATTGGTGAGAGTTCAGAGACCCTGGGGTCAGCTCCCTCCTCCAACACCCAGACTCCACCCTTTGACATCAGTGGACAACGGGGGCCCCTTTCTGTGCCCCACTAGGCCCCAGAGACTACCCGAGGCCTTGGCCAAGGCAGCTGCCCACCAGTGCGTCTCTGGGCCACTGTGAAGTGGGTGGTGACATCTGCTCCATCATGGGGTCAATGAGGCGCACACAGGGCCATCGTGTGGGAGGGAGCCCAGCAGGTCCCACCGCCTCCCAGAGATCGGCCCGTCTGAACTCAGTGCCGCTCATGTCTTCCCTTTAGGCCAGCATGTCCCCAAAATCCTAGGCCAGCAGAGCCCCTTCCCCTCCTTCCCGCAGTCAGTGAGGGGATGAGGCAAGGCTGGCCCCTTGCCAAGGCCTCTGAGGCCCAGCCTGGAGGGGACTGGTCTTGGAGCTGGAGGTCTCCACTGCTGCCTCACCTCCAGCTCCGCCTGGGGGTGAGCGTGAAGCCCCTGAGGCCTCAAACTGCAGTGGCTCCTGCAGCTTCACCAAGTGCCTCACGTGGCTGTGCATGTGTGCTGTGTGCACATGTGTGCATTCCTGTATGCTACAAGCGTGTGCACAGGCATATGCGTGCATGCGTGTTGTGAGCATGTTTGCATGCATGCATGTGCTGTGTGCATGCATGAATGTGCTGTGAGCCCGTGTACATTCATACATGTGCTGTGTGTATGCATGTGTCACTGTGTGTGTGACTGGGTGGGTCAGACATACTCTGCTATGTGTCCCATCCCCCCTCCGCCCTGCCCCACCCCCCTCCCCGAGCCTGAGAGTGGGCAAGGATCCTGGGGGAGAGAGGAGGGCTCAGAGACTGGGAGCAGCCCCTGACTGGGGAGGGGGCATGGGCAGGGCTGGGGAGGGATGCCTAGTAGCTGCCTTGAGGTGTCCTGGGAACGAGCCCAGGAGGAAGCCTGCACAGCAGCAATGGCAGCGCCATAGCAACGCAGCACAAAGCACTGGCCTACTTACACCCCGCCCCCGCCTCGCCCTGTTCAGTCTCTGCTCCTGGGAGGGGCTGCAGGGCCTTTGAGGCTCCTAGGGGCCGTGCGCCCCAGCCTTTGGGAGCTCATTGCCCTGGAAGCCTCCTGGCCTTCCCATAACAAAGGATGCTGAACCTGGCCCCGTGGAGACTCAGTTTCCTCATCCATAAACGGGGGTGGGGGTGGGGGTGCAGAAATGTCTAGTACCTAGTAGATGCTCAGCAGAGTAACCTCCTCCTCATCTCTTTGGGGGCTGCAGACCCAGTGGTTGTGAAAGGGCTTTGGAAGTTTCCAGTCCTGGAAATCTCAGGGCTCTGTGCTGCTGGAATGACTACAGGCCCCAAAGGTCTCTATGTCCCCAACCAAAGGCCTCAGTCTGAGGCCCCCGAGGCAGCACAGTGTCTGGGTGGGAGGGGGCAGCCAGGAACATTGAGGACAGAGTCCCAAGCTGCCCACACACCCCCTCATGGGACAGCGCCCTCAGGAGGGCCAGTGCCCTTCACATGCCCGGCCACCCTCTCGGCCTCTGTCATCAGCATGGCCAGGACTCCAGGGCCAGGCTCCACTCAGTGGGGGTTGGGGGGAGGGCCATGATTCTTTGAAGACGACCCGGGACCTGACACTAAGCTCTGCTGACAGCACTAGCTCACCTGTGCCTGCCTCCTGACCTTCAGGGCCAGCTCCTGACTGGCTGCCTCCACCTGCAGAAGCCCACCTGGCCTGGGGCCCTAGTGCGCTCAGAGCTGTGGGGATGGGGACAAGTGTCTCCAGTGCCCAGGGAGGCTGAGCGAGCTGCCCGAGGAGAAATGGGGCATTCGTGGGGCAGCCCTAGGGCCTGGGTGCCCTGTGCCAGCCGGGCTCTGTCTGTGATGTCCATGTGGCCCTGCCACCTTTGGCCACCCTGGGCTACGACGACCCAGCAGGGTCTCACTGAGGGGTCATCTCAGGTATGGTGCAGTGCCCTGAGGAGGAAGGGCCAAGGGCCAGCAAGGCTGTAAAAACACTTTGTGGAGGACCCAGGGCCTGGGGACTGGAAGCCCTTGTCCCCACAGGGGGTGGATGTCACCCAACATCATGCCTCAAAACCCCATGTTTTCCTGACCTCACCGGGGAGCGAACCAGGCCGGGGTCTGCTGTGTGACCTCGGGCCTGAGCACGTGCTGGGCTTCGGTCTCCCCACAGGGACAGGCAGCTGTGGGTGTCTGAGCACAGGCTCCAGACGAGTAGCTCCCTGCCCTACCCCAACCCTGGGTCCCGTGGGTCTGACCCAATTCCCCCTCCAGACAGGGCGTCCCGCCATCAGCCATCCATTCACTCCTTCATCTACAAGATGCTCTTCTGCATCCCCAGGGTCAGTGCCCAGCAACCACCTGTGGAATGAATGAAGGAGTAGGCATGAATGAATGAGTGAGGTTTGGAGGGGAGCAGCCCTGTGCACTGGGGTGTGAGTGGGGTTGGGGCTGTCCGTCTGTGCATGTGTGCATGCAAAAGTGTGTGCTCCCCTCCAGGCACCAGCTGCAGCCGCCCTCCCTTCCCCCACCTCAGCCCCCCCTAATTTATGCCACTTGCTGGTCCCCCGCCTGGCAGCAGCTTTGTCCCCAGGCGGATTCCCAACGGCCGCCTTTGGGAAGAAAGGGCCCTTCTCTGGCTGGTGGTGAGTCACCAGGAGGGGCTGGGCACACACAAAGGCCTCAGCCCCCCTCCCCACCCTGCTGGCAGCTGCCTCTTTGTCCCCAGCTCTCAGCCTAGGAGAGACCCCAAGAGGCCCCTCTGAGGCCTTGGTGAGGCCTGGGCTTCCTTCCCAGGAAGTGGATGGAGTGGGGGAAGGGAAGGAAGCAGCCCTCTCCCCGGCTTTGCTCCTGTTAAGTCACCGCACCTGTCGAGGTGCAGACTCTACCCCAGATGCCATGCTGGGCCCCGTGGCAGCTGTGGGGCTCTCGGCCCAGTGCAGGGGTCTGTGTTCAGCTGTCTGTCTGGGTCCCCAGGTCAAGCCAGCAAGCTTGAGGGGTGGGAGGCTGCAGGAAGGGGAAGGGGAGCCTGAGGTGTTAGGAGGCAGCCCAGGCAGCGGCAGGCAGCTCAGCCCCTGGCCTGGAGTGGGCTCGGTCACGGGAGGGGCTCTGGGGGTGATATTCCTTACCCTCAGCTGCTGAAACCAGTATCTCTCTGGATCCCATGACGCCTGGCAGGTGTATTTGTGCATTTGTCTGTGTGCATACGTGTGTGTGGCGTGTGGTGGGGTGAGGGGCTGGCAGGCCTGGGCACCCCTGGCACTTCCCCATTGGCTCTCAAGGAAACCCCACAAACCCAGCTGGGGAGCTCCTGTGGGTACCGTACTCCATAGGGCATGTGGGCTGAGGCTCAGAGAGGGCAAGTCAGTTTGCCCAAAGCCACCCAGCCCCCAAGGGGTGGGGCTGTGAGAAACCTGCCCCTCTTCTGCCTTCCTGCTTTTCCCAACTGCCCACATGAAGGTGAGGTGAAGGCGGGTCACCTCCTCCAGACTGCACTAGGCATCTCCTGTGCAGGGACCAGGGAGCCAGCCCAGTGGGGGTCAGCGGAGATACAGCAGAGTGACAAAAGCTGTGAAAAGCAGCAGTGGGGAACCCGAGAGCGCAAAAGGGTGGCGACATTGCCTGGTGGGCGCTGCAGCTGCATTTATCCAGCGCCTGCCCTCTGTCGGGCCCAGCACAGGGGGGATCCAAACACGTTCCTGGACTGCAAGGAATGTGCAGTTTAGCTGGGACCCCGGAAACCACCATTAGATCAGAGACAGGCTAGCTGCCGTCCTGGGATGTCAGTCACTTAGGGCTGTAGGGTGGAGGCCGCCCAGTGGGACTGAAGGTGCTAGAGGGGGCACTGCGAGGGCAAAGCCCTGGTGGCTGGACCCAGGAGCTCCGTCGCCATCTATGGGACTCAAAGGATTGGCTCAGACCTCCCTCGCCTGCCCGCAGAGCCCGCTGCCCCAGCCGCCAGCTGGCAGCCCTCAGGCCTGGAGCTCCTTAGCAGTCTCTCCACGGAGGGAGGAAGTGGAGCCCAAGGGAGAAAACAAAACCCCTCATCTTGTCCCAGACAAACAGAGGCCAGGCTGGACACTGGCGACGGCCGCAGGGGGCTCGGGGCCCTGCCAGGTGTGGCCGCAAGCAGAGCCAGCCTCGCCCAGGCTGGGCTCGAGGTGGGGGTGCTGAACACAAGGGCTGGGGACAGGGCAGGGAGTGGAGGGCCAGGGTCCCACCAAAAGCTCTAAGCTCTGGCCAGGACCCCCTGGGCGCCCTGCACTCGGACCTGGGGGACAGGCCAGGAAGCGTGACCAGAGGAGGCAGAGGCAAGGGGGAGGTGGCCGGCCCGGAGAGCTGGGTCAGCCCAGGTGCAGGCACCCCCACTGGCCACCCTCTGCCTGGACTCCCAGCTCGTGGGCCTGGACCACAGAGGGTGCTGGGAGGGGGAGCTGGGCAGCCAGTGCACCTTGATGTCCCTGCCAGGCCGCCGGGCAGGGGATGGGGGTGGCCTGGGCCCCCGGTCCTCCCCCCGCTGAGAAGCTTCTCCTCGGTTGCTTAGTGGCCGGAATGTCCATTGTGCCCGTAGCTTAGCAACATGCTGCGGTCGCCCCCGCTGACCCTGCCCCGCAGCCGGCCGCTGGCATTCCTCGGCAGGCCCACCCCTCCGCAGGCCGGGCCTCATCCGCCTGAGTGTGTCCCAAGGCACAGAGCCGCCAGCATCCTGTGTGCCCAGCACCCTGGGTGACTGAGGTTCCCAGCTCAGGCGGCCATGGTTCTGCCAACTGCCACATGCTGGCTACTTGCCCTGGTGGCACTCTTGGGAACCATGAAAAGTCTGTGTTCAGATCTTGTCACATTCAGTGGTTCATGCCCCTATTTAGATTCACTTTCCCGGCAAATGTAATGACAGTGACAGAAAGCAGCCGAGCTGCCTGCGGCCAGGTGGGGGAGATGGACAGGAGGAGGCAGAGGGTTCACACAGGCACACACATTGGTACAGGACTCCTGGAGCTGGACAGTGAAATGGGTGTCATCCATTGTGTGTAAATTATACTGCAATAAGATGGATTTCTAAGGTATTTTCTTGGGGCACAGGATGAGGTCAGGCCTGTCGGTGGCAGCGAGCTGGGGGCAGGGAGTACAGGGTTGCAGGGGGGCGTGTAGAAGGAGACAGGGTAGTTATCTGAAGTTGGAGAGGCCAAAAGAGGGCCCCCTGGAGTATGGGATAGCACCTCCTCGGGGCGGGAAGTGAGGGGCCCTGCCGCTCTGCAGCCCCCTGCTCCTCTCCCGCCCTCTGATGCTGGGGGCCACTCTGATGGCCCACCCTTGACCAAGGCAAACTCGCTTCTGGGTCTGTGGCCATCAGATCCACGCTGGGAGGGGTGGAGAATGGACAGCTCATTGTTGCCTCTGCCAGGGACAGGCCACCTGCCCCACAGCACATGACCTGCTGGCCACTCGGCCACCCTCAGACCCTGCTGCCCCCAGCAGTGGACTACCTGAGAGAGGCACTGGGGTCCTGGACTTAGGAGGACTGCGGTCCTGGGAGGGGAGGCTGAGGGACGTGACCATGGGGAGTCCTCGAGGGTGGGGCTCCCTGGGTGGCTTCTTTCCGCTGCTGGGGAGCCTCAAGCAAATGAACAGTTGAAGCAGCCTGGGGCACTTTGTTCTTTTCTTTTCTTTTTTAAACTCTTTTTATTAGGAAAATGTCAAAGAAATGCAAAAGCAGAGAGAATAGCAAAGGCTTCCAGGCGCGAGGATTATGAATGTTTCATCGCTTATTTTGAGGCAGATCGCAGCCACTCCATCGTCTCAGAGTATCATTAACACACCTAAAAAAGCGTTATTCTTTAAACTCACGAAATATCCACCCAGGCTTCAAATTTCCCAATTGTCTCATTTTGTAAAATAAAACATTTGGTTCATTCAAATCAGGACCCGCAGAGGTCCGTGCACAGCGCTCCTCTGCTGCCTCCTGTCACTCTGGAAGCCCAAGGGCATCTGGGAGCCGCTGGGAGACACGGCAGTCCCGAGGGGAGGGTCTGGGACTCAGGCAAACATTCCAGCCAGACTGAGGCAAAGACGAGCTCTAACTGACGACAGTGCAGCCTCGAAAAGGGCGAGTTGGATGGTGCTGGGAGCTTCCATAGAGCTGTGACCACCCTGCTTAAGTTAATGAAAGTGTGTTTTGTTTGTTTTAGGAAATAAAAGAAAGGAAAGAAGAAGAGTTGGAGAGATTCTGGTTCCTCTGGCGTGACCGCTGGGCCCCCTACCCCCAGAGTTCCAGATCCAGTAGTTCTGGGGCGGGGCCTGGAATCTGCATTTCCACTGAACTCACAGCGCACACTGATGCCGCTGGTCCCGGGACCTCCTTTTGAGAACCTCAGCTCCATGGACTTCACAAATACCCGTGGCCATAGTTTAGGAATGGTTCTGTCACCCAGGACATGAGAACCGCCTTGGTTTCTAAAGATTAAAGAACCAAAACTAGTGTCTGGCACACAGGTAGCAGGAAAAAAACCCCCATATATGTATATGTATGTTCATGTAGACATATATGTAGCTGGGTAAGGGGTACTTACTATGTTGTTACAAGGATGGATTTGGCACCCTGAGGTACCACTTGGTGGCAGTGTACCCAGGTGACAACATGAACATGGGCTCTGAGGACCTGTGACATCACCCACCTCAGTCCTCTCAGGGCCTCTCTGGGAGGAGGAGGGTAAGACATCAGGAAAAAAACTGGTGGGAAATAAGATGAAACAGGGTGAAGTTTTGTACACTCTTGCCAGATGGGCAGTGAATTTGGCTCTGAGCTTCCGAGTGGCTGAGGCAAAGAGGGAAGTAAGATTAGGCAAAGTAGTACTTCTTCTTTTTGTGGAAGGTTAACTCTGAGCTAACATCCGCTGCCAATCCTCCTCTTTTTGCTGAGGAAGATTGGCCCTGAGCTAAGATCCCTGCCCATCTTCCTCTGTTTTGTATGTGGGACACTTGCCACAGCATGGCTGATGAGCGGTGCGGACGTCTGCACCTGGGATCCTGGCTGGCGAACCTGGCGCTGCCAAAGTGGAACACGCAAACTTAACCGCTATGCCACTGGGCCAGCCCCCAAACTAGTGCTTCCTGACCTTTAATGCTGTTCAAATCACCGGGGAATCTGTCTAAAATCCACCTTCTGATTAGGAGGTCTTGGTGTGCATGTGGGAGGGCACTGAGATTCCATGTCACCTAACAAGTCCTCCTGGAGACGTAGGTGCTGCCACCCACACACCAAATTTTGAGTACAACTCAGTGTCCCTGGGATGAAAAGCAGGCAGGAGAGCAGTCCCATCCCTCCAGGTACCAAGAGCCCTGTGCAGCGTTGCAGCTCGCTGCGCCCAGCGCTCTCCGAGAGGAAGCCCTGAGGCCCCTCCGGGGCAGCGGCCCCAGGAGCTCCGCCTCTCTCAGCCAGGGTCATGTCTGGGCACTTCAGCGGTCAGCCAAGACAGTGGCCAGCAGAGAGGGGACCGAAGCCCAGGCTGTGGGAGGACACTTGTGCTTCCCGGGGGAGGGGGAGGGCAGCTTGGCAGAAGTCGTCCTGGGAGGATCCATCATGACATTGCTGCAGAGGCAGGAAGTGGGGCTGCTGAGCCTTGGATCATGTTAAAGAAAAGGCCACCCGGCCTCTCTTCTTTCCCTGAAATGCGCATTTGACTTCAGGCAGTGAGGGACCTGACTCCAGATGGTGTCCCAGGACACAGTGATTTCTGTCCATCTGTCCCGGGGCACCGGGACCTAAGCCTACGACTGGCTGTGCCTTGGCTGTGCTGGGCAGGCCGGGAGGAGGGGCCCAAGGCCCATGGAGGGAACCGAGGGCTGAGGCGCAGGGGGTCCGCCTGTGCCCAGTGCTCCGGGGCTGGCCCACATGGAGGCTTTGAGGGAGTGTGGGGGCGAAGGGGGTTTGGGGCAAAGGGGCCGCAGACCATGCTGCGCCCGAGTGGGGAGGTGTGGGGCCCCTGAGGAGCACATCAGGGCCTGAGGCCTGGAGAGACATGAGCCCCAGAAACCTCGGAGAGGTGGGGTGGCCCACTCCCCACCATCGCCTTTATCCGTGATAGAAGGAAGCAGAGCCCAGGAAGGAGTCAAAGGTACTTTGCCAGAGAGAGGCAAAGAGGCAGCCGACCCGCCTCCCCCACCTGTGAGGGGCACCCGTGCCCCCAGGCGGCCTGGAGCTTTCTCACACCACGGGGCCGTGCGTGCTGTGCTGATGGTCCTGGGGCGTCAGGGGAAGCGGCAGGGTGGGCAGGAAGGATGGAGGCGGCTGCCAGCAGGAGCCGGGGCTGGAGCAGGGAGAGCAAAGGAAGCAGGAGGAGGGATGGGAGGCCAGCCCGCAGTGACTCTCCTCCCTGTCCCATCCCCGCTGCTTCTAAAAATGTGCCTGCACCCGGGCTGCCCCCTCTTTGAAGGGACAGATGTCGGGGAGAAAGCTGATTATTGTCCGAGGCTGGAGGCTGTGACCGGAGCTCTCGGTGAGCGTGACCCAATTCCGAGCTATTCTCAGCCCGCTGGGAGCCGAGGTGCTCCCGCCCTCCAGCACCAGCACTTCGGGGGCAGCCTGACTTTGAAATGCCCTCCTCCTGGCCACCCAGGCACAGAGACACAGCCAGGGAGGGCAGGCCAGGCCGGCGAGGTCCCCAGCCCCACTCCCTGCTTGAGGGGGACCCACTGTGTATGGTGCCCACGGGGGCAGAGAAGGCCCAGCCCCGCACCCACACCCTCTGCCTGCGGCCAGGCAGCTCCTCCCCTAAAATCGCAGGGTCTCTCTCCACCAGACTTGAGGTTAGGCCATGTGACCAAAGGCTTAAAAAGGGCCTGCGTGACCTGGCTTGCCCCTACTGGGCCTGAGAAGGGCGTTCGCAGGCCAGGCCACCGTCCCAGGAGGAAGAGGAGAAGCAGGGGCAGGGTTGTGTCTACATGGGCTCAGCCCCCGCATGTCAACAAGCCCAGCTGAGGGTGGCCGGAGCAGCCGGATCACAGACTCGAGAGAACTGACTGCTGCTTTCAGCCTCTGCGTTTGTTTGTTTGTTTGTTTTTGGCGGGGGGAGGGCATTTGTTATGCAGCACGTCCATGGGGATAGCTAACTGATACACCTACCTTGAAAGCTGTGGACATCAACTGAAGTGCCATCGGCCCCCACCCAGCCTAATGTTCACCCAGCCAGAAACCTAAAGTAGTTTTCGGTTTTATTGCACAACTAACTATAAGCACAGTAATGGGATGACCTGGAATTTCCAGAAAAGTCTCAATGTCAAATCTTCTCTCCCATTATCCTGATAAACTATTCAAGCACATCTGAAGGTGCAAAAAGCTATTCAAGTGCCTCAAAGTGCAAAGGACATTTCTCAGATGGACCCAGCAGTGGCCCCAAAATTCTGGTCTTGGAATCTGAAACAGAATGGGGGGCCTGCTTGGAGGTGGTGGCAGCAGCTCCCACTAGTGATAATAATCATAGAGGGGCTGGCCCGGTGGCGCAGTGGTTAAGGTCCCATGCTCCACTTTACCGGCACAGGGTTCGCAGGTTCAGAACCCGGGCACAGATCTAGCACTGCTCATCAAGCCACACTGTGGTGGCGTCCCACATGAAGTAGAGGAAGACTGGCACAGATGTTAGCTCAGCAACAATCTTCCTCACACACACACACACAAAATCAGAGACATCCATGAGCACTGACTGTCAAAGGTTGATGTGATACTGAACCTCACGCAGTCCCCTCCCCCACCCCGCCCCAAGGCAACACTGTGTACTTCTCATCTCTGCAAGAGAAAGGGAAGTGACACGTCACCACAGCACCAGAGGGAGGATGTGACCCAGGCTGGCCAGCCGAAAGCCTGAGCCCTTAAGTGCTCACATCCTCCCTGAGGGCAAACCCAAAGGATCAAGTCCAAATTCCTTGTCCCTCGGTGACCACAGGGGCCACCTCCTGGTGAGGCCTCCCCGTTGCCCCCAGCACAGAGTTCAACTCCTTCCCTTGCTTTGCTCCCGCCGTGCATGCCTCACCCGCACTGTCTGTGCCCCGTTCCTGGGGCCCCTGGAGCACAGGCTGTACTGCCCTGAATGTCTGAGACCCCGGTGCCAGGAGTGTGGTGAAGAGGGTAGCGCTGAGGATTGGGCACCATCAACCCCCACCTGCATCTCCCTCCTGGGGGCATCGGGAACCGAGACCTCCAGCAGGGCCGCCCCTGGGAGCCTCTCACCAGGAGGCAGGTACACCCCCAGGCTGGCATGTGAGCCCATCAGCCCCTGGGCGGAGTGGGGCACTGGCCAGGGTGGCCGGCAAGCAGCCTTGCAGAGAGGGTAGGCAGTTACCAGCCTGAGAGCGGGCAGGGATGCTGCCTCCGCGTCTAATCCAGCCTTTCCAGCCCATCCTCAGGGCCTGCCTGAGGGTCTGCTCCTGAGGCCTGCCCCCTCCCACCTGGGAAGCCCTCCTGCTCACCCTCCTCCCATTCCCACCGGCCCTTCCAGGCCTTGTGTGGCTGCCACCTCTTCTGAGGAGCCTTCTGCTACTACAGCAGACATCTCTCTCCCCTTTGGCCGCTGTAGTTGCACGTGAGGGGACCATGCAGGGTGGGAGAGTGCGTGCTATGGGGGGTCCCAGTGGGCAGGCAGAGACTGGAGGCCTGGATGCCAGAGTCTCCTCTCTTCTGGGCTTCAGTCTCCCGACCCGTGCAGTGGGCTGCGGTGGGGTGGGAGTGGCATTGCCTCCCTGGGCCCGGCCCCACGCAGCCCAGGCCAGGCCCCATGCAGCCCGCCCGCACCCCAGCACGCAGGCTGGAGGCAGGAGAGCCGGCGTCCCTGGGAGAACGGGCAGGCAAAGGAGGCCAAGAGGGTAAGGAGAAGGCAGCAGACCCGGGCCACAGGGGTGAGCCGGGCAGGCTTGGGAAAGCCTCCGCCCTCCCCCTCCGCTGTCCTCATGGGGCGACAATCCCTCCTTGTCACACTCTGCTAGGCAGAGTATGGCCTCTAGTGGCCTCGTGTCCCTTATGCACACAAAACCCACCCTGGGTCCCAAACCTGCACTGCCCCAGGTTGGGCACAGGGCTGGCCCCTGCCCCCGAGTCTCCTGCGGAGGGGGTGACACGCTCCTCAGAGGTGGGTGAGGGCGAAGCAAAGCGAGGCCAGGAGCAGCACACATGGGAGTTGAAGGCAAGGCCCAGGGGGCTTCCTGGGGGAGGCAGACTCTAATCCCAGCCCCGGGGTGGGGTCCTGGCCTGGGGCCCTCGGAGAGGTTAGCCTGGTCTGAGCAGCCTGCCTCTGGGGCTCAGATTCGGGAGTGGGGGCAGCAGCGGCGTTAGATGCATCACTGGGGCCAGGGGTGGGCAGCAGGGTGAGTGCAGGAATTTCCAAGGAAAAACTGAGGGCTGAGGCCAGTGGGTGTCTGCGGCTGGCGGCGGGGAGTTCCCGGATGAGTCCCTGCCCCGTGACCAGCCCCATGCTGCTGACTCTCTCACTGACCTGCTGATTGGTCACTCACTCACCATAGGCCCTGCCATGCCTCTCTAGCCATCAGGCTCCCCAACTGCAGAACTGGGGTGCCACTTGGCTTCTGTCCCTCTGTCTGTAGGAGCTTCCAGGTTGGGGTCAGACCCTGCAGGAACGATCGCTGTGCTCCAGCATGGGACATGTTGGAGCAGAGGATGGCTGAACAGGATGCTTCTGCCTGGGGGTGGGTGCTGGGAGGTGCTGAGGAACATTTGAGCAGGGCCTTGAAGGATGCACAGGGGTTCACTACTGGCTCAGGGCCAGGTGGGGCTCTGGGCTGAGGCTGAGCTGAGCCTGGATCGCTATCTGGGGTGGGATTGATGCCCAGAGGCCCAGTGGAGCTACAAGGACTCGTGTGCAGGGACTGGCAGCCCAGAGGAGGGGCTGAAGGGCCACCCAGACTCAAGAGAGAAGCTTGGTGCCAGGGACAACAGTGAGCAGGGACAGGGATCCAGTCATCCATCCTGGGGCAGGAGGGCTTTCCCACTGCCCCTCCAGCTCACACACACCCAGGTGTAGACCCATCTGGAAAATGGGGCCCAGCCGAGCCCACAGTCCTGGGGCCTGCGTGCTCAGTAAACTGTAGAGAGCTGAGCCCTGCATCAGACCCCTGCAGGCCTTTCCCCAAGGCCAGGGTAAGGCCCAGGTAACCTGCTCTGTCCCTCAATCCAGGCCTTTGGTCAGAGGTCAAGACAGGTCCTGGAAGGGGGAACAAGACCTCTGGAGAAGGGCTAGTGGTTCCAGGGCCCTGAGGGACTTGAGGGGACACAGGTTTTTTTTTTTTTTTTTTTTTTTGAGGAAGACTGTCCCTGAGCTAACAGCTTGCCAATCTTCCTCTATTTTGTATGTGGGATGCCGCCACAGCATGGCTTGATGAGCTGTGTGTAGGCCTGTGCCTGGGATCCAAACCCACGAACCTGGGGTCACCAAAGCAGAGTGTGTGAACTTAACCACTACGCCACTAGGCTGGCCCCTGGACATAGGTCTTACCAGGAGGCTGTGTGGGAGGAGATGGGAGGGGAGGCCCACCAGGAGACTGGTCCTCCGGCAGGCCCACCTCACTCAGTGTCCCTTCAAGGACCCAAAAGCTCAGGTGGTGGCCTTGAGCTGGGATGGCAGGCCCAGGGGGTCCTTCTTGAGCTCTGGGCCTGTCAGGGAGCACAAGAGGGAGCAGCAGCCCAGGCGCCCATGCTGTGGACGCAGGCAGGCTGCACTGCAGAGGGACGGCCCTGCGCTCTGGGACGGACGGACGGACGGACGGACGGACACACACACACACACACACACACACACACACACACACACGCGTCGTCCCTGCCCCCCCCCCCACCAAGGACAAGTGGCCCTTTTTACAGCTGGATGGGGGTGGCTACACACTCGTCCCTTTGTCCAGCACGTCCCAGGCCATTGTCCTGGAGTCTGGAGCCCCTGTGGTGCCTGGCCTGGGAGGAGCAAAGGAAAAAGCAGGGCTCAGGAGGGCTGCGCGCAGGGAGGTCCAGCTTGGACGCTGGGGTGTGGTGGGGGGGGTCTGGCCTCACGGGGTACCAGGAAGACCAGGCAGCACAGGAGGAATGGTGTTTATTTCTCTGCCAGGCATGGTCAGGGGCCAGCCCTAGGCCAGCAAGGACCTTGGGGCTCTTGTCCCAACGTGGGAAAACTGAGGTCCCTGATGGCAGCTGAGGCCAAGGGCGGATGCTCAGGCCCTTCGCACACCAGTGGCAGGCAGGGACGCCAGCTGCACACCACAGAGCTGGAGGCCAGGCCAGGCAGGGCAGGGGACATGTGCCCTCAGCCCTGGATGCACCCCCAGGCCCCCATGACCTCAGGGTCCCTACGAGGGGCAGGGACACCCCAGTAACTCTGGGGTTGGACAGCTGGGGTCCAAACAGTTCCGACAAGGACTGGCCAGGTCGCCTGAAGCACACCACTGTCCTTCTCAGGTTCTTCTCTAAGTGACGCTGTGTGTTCTCACTTAGTGACCTGCTGGGGGCTCGGGCTGGGCCAGGCTGCAGAAGGCACTTTCCAGGGGTGGGAGAAGTGAGGGGGGTGGCTGGGGGCTGCCGCCTGCCCCTTCACGGGAGAAGATGCGGAGACACTCACACAGGGCCTGTGCAGCGCCCATGGGGTGGGGTCAGGCCTAAGGCCACACAGCAGGGTCGCCTCTCCCTAGCTGCTGGGCTGGTCTGGCCCCATCAGGACCAGGGAGGGAGGTGACGAGCAGGCCCACAGACCGTGTAGGGCAGGCTGGGCCTTGGGGGTCCCGGGGTCCAGTGCAGCACCAAGCCCCAAGCCCTCCTCCTCTGAGTCTTTGCCTCCCTGCCCCCCTGCTTCGGGCCACCTGGGAAGGGGCCAGACCTGGGCTCTGCCACCTGCACCCCTTAGCCTCAACACTCAAAAGAGCCTATGGCAGTGGAGACTTTGTGTGGCAACAAACAGCAGGAGGGGGATGCTGAGCACAGTGGTGGCGCGGGCAGGAGGCCTCCCTCCCCAGAGGCCCTGCCTATGTTCCTCCACCATGGACACCCCCCTTCAGCCACCCGGGAGGCCCCCGAGCCCTGCCCCGCCTTCTGTCCTTTTCTAAACACAGGCCCTGTTTCTAAACACAGGCCCCGGCAGGCGTCCGCTGACCATATAAGGAGGCCTCTGGCCGAGCTGCTTCTCCCTGCCTAGCCTAGCGCTCCCAGCTCCCTGGAGCTCCTGGCAGCCCGCTAGCCGGGGGTCTTGGTGGCGAAGGTCAGGTAACCGGTGTGGCCCACAGCCTCCTTCATGGGCGTGCCGCTGCGGAAGGGGCTGGCGTCGGGGCCAGGGCTGGCTCCCAGGTCGGGCGCAGGCAGACTGATGGTACGCACGTTGTACACCTGCGGCAGCACCTCCAGCGTGCTCAGCTCTGAGAAGCCCCGGGCCGCCAGCGCCTGGCATGTGCGCTGCACCTGCTCAATGCACGGTGAGAAGGAGCAGAAGCGCCCGCCTGCGGGGAAGCAGGACACAGGGGTCAGAGGGCAGGGGGACTGCAGGACCCCTGGAGCCCTGCCTGCCTGCCCCTGGCAGCCTCTTCATGCCCTGGTGTCCGTGGGCAGCCCCGTCCCTGCAGGAGCAGGCCTTGGCACAGAAACCCCTCTGAGAGAGCATGAGGAGGTGGCCGCCTGGAGCCCGGCCTGCGGTCTGGGGTGGGCCGAGCTGTCGGCTGAGCCCTGGGGCCCCAGAGGGAGGAGATGGGCAGAGGCCACAGAGCAGGGGCTCTCCTGGAGCCATGTCGAAGGGGCTGCCCATACCAAGCCCTCTCATGTCCCAGGCACAGGGCCTCGTCCACTACCCTGACCTCATGTGGCCTCCATGGGCACTGCCACCCTGACTTCCACGAGGCAGCCAAGAGTTAGGGGTCATGCGTCACAGTGGAGCCCCAGTGTGGCAGCTGCCAGAGCTCAGGGCCAGGACAGCTCTAACCATAACCAGACAACGCAGTACAGGCGGGGGCGGGCATGGGGAAGGGGGCGCTTGGGTGGGCGGGGGCCACTGCTGTCACAGGAAATTAGAGGCTGTCGTCCGCTCCTGGGAACAGGAGGCGCCTGCTCCTAGGGGAGCCCGACGCCCTGAGGATGACAGGGCGGGGGCGAGAACTGACAGCCCCTTCCTGCCGCATCCCACCAGGCCCGCCTGCGGTGTCCCTCAGCCTGGCCCGGGGCCAGCCCAAGTCCCCATTCTGGTAGGGAGGGCATGGGGAAGCCAGGGCAGGGGAAGGGATGTGGCCCAGGCAAGTCTTTGAGCCCTGGTCCCCTCAGCCATACACAGTGACACAGACCCCCAGGCAGGGCTGGGGGGAGGTCTGGGCTTGGAGGAGCCACGTGCAGCTTAACGCCGACCCAGAGAGGGCACAGCGTCACCCCCAAGAGGGGGCCCAACCCCTATGCACACTGCTGGGGAAACTGAGACCCCCCCTAGGTGAGGGCCTGAGCCTGCTGGCCAGCCCGAGGACTGGAGAGCCCAGCGGCACACCTCCCCGGGGCCGGGCTCCCACAGCAGGCAGGCAGCCATCAGAAAACGCCAAACCCACAAATAAGCTGGAAGCCTCTGGGCCCAGAACAGATCCAGGGACAGCACCCAAAGGAGCGGGCTTAGAAAGGCACAAGGGATGGGGCCAAAGCTGGCGTGGCTCCCCCAGGGCAAGCCACGAGGACAGAGTCTCGGCAGCAAGAGGGAGGCCCAGGAGTGTGACTGCCTGGGCTTGGCCAGGGCTGGGCAGCCGGCTCTGGCCTCCCTGGGACCGGGCCCTGGGCCCGTTGGTGTCCCTGGAGCAGGGAGGGCCCGCAGTTTTCTGGAGGGAAAGCTAAAGAGAGCGGGGCTGAAGGGAAGCCAGGGCTGCCCCTCTTCCCAGCCCCAGGCCCAGGACAGGGCAGTCCGGGGTGGAGCCTGAGCCAGCTGTCAGGGGACCCACTGGGACCCACTGGCCACCGCAGTGCTGTCTGAGCCAGGCCTCAGCATCTGTCTTTCAGACAGGCAGCCCTTCCCCCGGGCAACCCAGCCTGCTCCCCGCCCTCCCGCGCTGCACCCTCAGCTGGGAGGGGGAAGAGGCCTGGCTGCCTGAGCCGACTCCTTCTCCAGAAAAGGGAAAAACCCAGGGCCTCGCCAGCGCCTCCCTGGCTCAGAGCCCACCTCCCCGCCTCTGCGCCCAGCATCTTCCCTAAAAGGGGCCGGTGGCCTGGGTTCTGGCTGGGGGGAGGGAGACTGCAGGGAAGGAAGGCCTGGGTCAGGGGCTACCCAACCTCCGACCCGCCCCGCCTGTGGTGCAGGTCCCACCTCACTCAGGCAGGGCTGCCACACTCCCCAGGGGCCTCAGACATCTGCTCCCTCAGGGAGGGAGTGGGCAGGGCCAGGAAGCAGGGGCCCAGCTAGAGCTAGTTCTCTCCAATTCTGACTCCATCGCCAACTCTCACCCTCTCCCCAGGTGACCTCCCACAACTCCCCTGGCCAGCCTGACCCACCCCAACATCAGGCCAAAAGGAGCTCCAGCCTGGCCATGGCTGCTGTGTGGCCTGGCGGTTTCTGACCTCTCTGGGCTTCAGATGACCTAGAGGCAGGCCTGGGCCCAGGAGCTCAGCCCCCAAAGCTGCACCCCTCCCAGAAACCCTGATGCACCTTCAACCTTGAGGGCGTCCCAGGCATGGCCCACAGCCTCCCAAGGCGATGGGATATCCAGGAAGACGGCATCTGCCACGTGGCTCACGCCAAAGCCGCTGCGGCACACGTCCTGGTTGCGCACCGTCACCCAGCGACCCACGCGGTGCTCCTGGAACTCCTCCCGCGCCTTCTCCGCCCGCTGCTGGTGGAACTCCACCGTGTGCAGGTGGCCCGTGGGCGCAATGGTGCGGATGATGGCGTGGGACACGGAGCCGCTGCCGGTGCCTGGCGGGACAGGGGAGGTGTCATCAGAGACTGCCGGGGCACCCAGGAAACAATCCCGTCCCCACCCTAGAGAGACCTACAAAGAGCCCACAAGGTCTGCCGATCCTGGTCTACCAGTGGACATCACTCCAAGGGCTACTTGTTGGGTTGGCCGCCCTGGGTTTGGGACACCACTTAGGCTGTGTCTGGGCTGGGGGACAGGGAGAGGGCAAGCTGGGATTAATTAGTGATGTCTGCCATCGGGCCATGTGGGAGAGTGGCAGCCCTGCCCAATGCCAGCACTGGAGCAAACCCTGCTGCCAGACATGGAGCTCTGGAGCCCGAGGTTCTGACTGGGGCTGGGGTTGGCCCAAGGCCTCCTAGGCTCTGGGCAGAGCAGATGAAGAGGCTGGGCCCATCCCACTGCCTTCCATGCTTCCATGCGGTGGCTGGTCCCAAGCTCTGGAGCTCCTCGGCCTACTCGGGTGGGTCTATCTCGCTGCCCTCTATCCACTCTCACCACACAGGATGCAGCTCTGCCCTCACCTTGTTTGACCCCACAGCACGGTGACATGGTAACCACCCTGCCAGAAAAAGAGTTCCTTTCTTCCCCTCACGTCATGTCTCCTGGTTTTCCTCTGACCACACCAGCCACTCCTCAGCTTCCTTCAGGGCGCCCCTCTGCTTGACCTCCTATCCTGCAGCACCTGGCTGGGGCCTGCATCTCCCCATCCACCCCCCATCACCTCCCCTTGCCCCACGGTTCCAGGTGCCACCTACTTGATGACAACTCCCTAGGGCCATGTCCCTCCATTCCACACTCCTACCTAGCATCTACCGCATACTTGCAACCCACCCCCTCCCACCGCCTCAACACCCAAACGGCACTCTGCCTTAATAAGTGCAAAGCTGGACCCGACCCAACCCCAAATCCACTCCCTGCCAAGACTTCCCCACCCAGTCAATACCACCCATTGCTCAGCCAGACACCATGGAGGCACCCTTGACTCTCCCCTCTCCCACCCCAGATCAGATCCACCAGCAACTTCTGCCACCTCCTCCCACATCTCCCCAGGAGCCACCCCTTCTCCCACCTGCCTGCCAAGCTCGCCTGGGCCCCTCCCTCCTGGCTCTCTGCAACAGCCACCAGACTGGCCGGCTGCAATCCTGTCAACACAGCCGCAGAATTCTCTTCACCCCGTCAGACTGGGCCTCTCCCCGCTGCACAGCTCCCCGTCCACACAGGCTGAGTCAGACTCCTGATGACCCTCCGAGCTGCACCTGTTTTGTCCCCAACCTCACTCGAGGGCTTTGCACAGCTCTCTCTTGGGGTGACATCCTCCTTTGGCTGTTGATAGGTACCTCCTTCTCATCATTTTCAACTCAATCTCCCCTCCTCAGAGAGGTCTTCCCTGACCACCCTCGCTGGAGGGACCCCTTCGAGTCGCCTCAAACACGCAGCCCTGTCTTATAAGCCTCACGGTAGTCAATAGCACTGACATGCTCACACCAGGCTTACTGTCTGTCCCGCTCTGAGAAGCAGAAACCTGGCCTGTCTTGTTTACAGCTGCACCCACAGTTCCTAGAAGGGGAGCTGCCACATGAGAGGAGCCCAGAAGTGCGCCCGCTGACATAGCTCTTTCCATCTGAGTGGGGCGAGGCCCTGGCTGTGGGTGCACAGGGAGAAACAGGGGATGGAGCTGGTTCTGAGTCCTGCTGTCTGCCGGCCACTGGCACCCCCTGTCCCCTCATGCCGAGCAGTCGGCTTGACTCAGCCCCCACCCACTCTCTGACCTAGGTTCTGCATCTGACTTCCTATTTCAAAGTGCTTGGCTGGCCAACCGGAACCATCCAATTGTCCACATGGAGAAACTGAGGCCCAGAGAGGGACAGGACGGCCTGAAGCCCTCAGAAAGTCGACAACAGTGGTGTTGGGAACTCCTCATGACCCCAGAACCCAGCTACCCAGCCCAGGAGGAACATGCTGGGAATCTAGGTGCATCTGGGTCTGGGCTGTTCTTGGTCTGGCTGTGTGCTTCAATCTCCACCCCAGGCGGCCCCAGCACCTGTGTGATGTGTAAGTGGGTGTGCACATGCCTGTAGAAAGGCTGGGAATGGCTGGCCTTCAGGCACTTCCGTCTGCACCCCAGGCCCTGGGCTCAGCAAAACTGGTGCTGGCCACGGATGAGCACGAGGCAGGCTCCCCACCTACAGAGAGCACCGTGCTCCAGGAAGGGGCAACTCTCAGCCCCGGACCTGGGGCTCCCACTCGCAGCAGTCAGGGACTGCTTGACCAGGCACTCTCTGTCCCTCTGTCAGCATAAGGTTAGGGATCGGCAGTCAGCACCTTGGTCAGCGCCCAGCTACACTCTGGCCCCGCCCACTAAGGCAGATAGGACCCTCATAGGGCTCCAGCTCCTCCTGGAGGGGCTGGGACGGGGAAGCCTATCCTTGATCTAGTCCCATCACCTCTCACTCAGATGACAGCACCAGCCTCCTAACTGGCTTCCTTGCTTCTGCCCCTCACTCCCTACAGACAGCCTCCCAGAAAGATCCTGCTAAGACAGAAATAGCCATGCCTATCTGCAGGAAGAGCAGGCCAGAGGCTGTCTGGATGTTAGGTCTGACCTCCACCTTTCTGTCAATGTCTGAGTTAGAACTGAAGCAGCTTGAAGAACTCACCGGATTCACAGACCACAGAGCCAGGCCGAAGCTCCAGCATCATAGTGAGCAGGGCAATGTCGGTGGAGTAGAGGATCTGGGTGCGGTGTGGCAGGTTCAGTGTCCAAAGCTCAGGCGTGGGGTGCAGCACATAGACCCAGCCACCTCGGCCGCAGGTCACCTTGGAGCCGAAGGGGCGGCCGATGAGGTCTACTGAGTGTCGCAGGACACCATGCCGGGTCTGGGTCTGTGCCCCGCGCTGCACGCGCACTGCCACCATTGCACCATGGCCCAGTGACAGGATGGCCGTGTCACCCTCTTTGATCAGCTCCTCGTAGGCCACGAAGCTCATGGTGTTACTGTCTGGCAGGTGCCTGGGACCTGGGAGGAGGTGCGTGGGCATGAGCATGTAAGGGCGCCAGGAGGCAGGATGTGCACCTGGGGTCTAGGTAGAAAGCTGTGAGGCCCAGATCCTGAGCTGTGGGGGTGGGGTGGCTGGCTCAGCCCCTGGCACTGTCCAACAGGACAGCACAATAGGGCCGCACCCTGACCCGACGTTTGAAGCCCTTCTTGGTCTGAGTCATGAGACAAAGGCCATCATCCCGAAATCACAGATGCAGAGACTGAGGCCGGTCAATGGCAGAGCACGGACCCAAGGATTCCCACAAAAGACCTGACCCCCTCATCACCCTTCTCCAGGACCCTGGATCCTATTGTCCAGGTGTGAGATGAGGGAAGGCCTCCCCCCCCCCCCACCCCCCACCCCGCTCCCAGCCACAGCGGGGTAGCAACAAATGGTCCGTGAGATCATCTTCAGGCCAGGCTCGATTCCGCGGAACTCCCCTCTCCCCGATCTCCCCCAAGGGGGGCTTCTGGGCGGCCGGGTGGCAGGGAGATGCAGGAAATGTAAGGACCCCCCAGGCAGAGGCTGGGGATGCGCAGGGGGCCATAAACGGACACACTGGCCAGGCCCATTCAGGGGCAGGGGGCGGGTCAGGCCAGGCTGGCACTGGGCTGGGGGGACGGCCCACGGGAGGCTGGAGGGAAGCGTCGCGCCCGCCGGGCGACCCCACCCACGCACTGCCACCGTGGCCCCGCAGAATCTCACCGCCGACGCTCGGCCGGCTCCCACTCCCGGAGGCTCCGCACGTGGCTCGGCGACCACGGCCACAGCACTTCCGGCTGCGGCCCCGCTGCGGCGCCCGCCGATGACGTCACGGCGCGCCGCCCCTCGCGCACGGGATCCCGGGACCCGGGACGGCCCCTCCCGGCCTCCAGGGCGCGACTCCTGGTCGGCTCCTGCCCTAACATGGGTTCTCGTTCATATAGGCTCGTGCAGGAGACAAACTGAAAAGGACAGTCAGCCGGGCAGTGCCGGCCGGGACCAGCGCAGGGCCCCGTACCGCACCCTTTCACAGCCCGGGAGTCCCCGGCATGGCAGGCCCGCGGCTGGCTGCTCAGTCCTCCATGAGGACTCTGCCATGGGCATTTTGTCACTGCAGACCGCTCTGGGAACACCTTTGACTGGGTCCCACGGTGAATTCCAGAAGATGGAATCGCAGGTCAAGAGGGTCGTCCCAGAAGGCTTTGGCTGGAGTCGGCCAGAGGTGCAGGAGATGGTGGTCTGGAAGGGTCTGCCTTTCCCTGGCCTGCATCCCCTGCAGGGGGACATTCTCCAGAGTGTCCAGAGTGCAGAAGCCGCTTCAAGGAAGGAGGGGTCCTGTGTCCGCTCCTGGGACCCAGGGCGCAATGAGAGCTGGATGAACTGAGCTCACTTTGGGGTGGTGAGGACAGGGCCAACAGCCTGAACAGGGGACTGGGGGAGGGGCAGCTGGAGAACAAGGGCAGAAAAGGGAAGCAGCAGCCCTGTCTTGTCTCAGCAGGGCTGATTCAGAGCTGGTTCCTCTGTGGAGAGTGGGGGGGGGCAGGGGACATGGACTGGGCTCCCTCCAGCACTCAGCTCCCTGTGACCAGGGCTTGTCCTGTTAGCCCTGGGGACTGGAAAGGAATAGAGACCACCCCCCGCCCCCAGCCCACTCAGCTACCCTGGGGCTTGCCCTGGCCTCTAATCCAAGGCCAGCTAGCAATGACCCTAGGCTGCTCTTCCCAGGCCCAGGCTCCTCCAGCCTGGCAAAACGGGAGTGGCCAGGTCCCAGGAGAGCCACCCCTTCCCAGGCCCTGACAACCTCTGGAGCACTCTGGACCACCCCCTCCTCTGGGGCCAGGACTGGCCAGGGTATCTGTGGCCCTTTGCCATGGGCCCCTCAGAGTCCATGGTGGGAACCCAGGTGCCTGGCTTCAGGCCCCTCCATGCCCCTGCCCTGCTGGGACTGGATCTGGGAGCTCTGAGGGCAAGGTGTTGGGCCTTTGGTGGCCTCTCACTCTCTGTGGGTTCATATTGTGTAGGGCCAGCGTTCTGGCCACTGGCTGCCTCTGCAGCTGCATCATGGCCTCCTGCCTCTTGTTCTCAACCTTGAGACTACCCAGCTCCGTCCTCGGCTGGCCAACCTCTGTTCCAGGTGACTTTGCTTCAGCCCTGTGTGATGCACTCTGCCTGAATCACTCCCTAATTGCTCCCCGGGGAGGTCTTCACTTTCCACTTCTGGGGTTCCTCTTCCCCAGCCCCTCAGCTGTGTGTGAAGCCGAGACTGGGTGCCTACTAAGAGCCTAAATTAGGACTTGGTGACTTGGTGGTGGTTTCCTGTGGTCCCGACTTCCCACTTGTGTTTCTGGTGACTGGCTGACCAGCTCTTCTCCAGGCAGCCTTCCCAGGGCTGCCCATCCCTGAGCTTCCCCGAGCCTGCCCCAGCCCTCAGCCTGAGTCTTCAAGCACTGGCATCTCCCGGACCCCAGCTGATTACCCAGGTGAAGTGGACACCTTGCCTAGGACAGAGTTTGTTTATGGGGGTCCCCTAACAAGAACTGATGCTATATAAGCCCAGCCAAGTGTCATCGCATTGAGTCCTCCCCACAATCCTATGAGAGAGGAACCACTTTCCAGATGGGGAAACTCAGACTCAGAGAGGTTAAGGAGCTTGCCTAAGGTCACACAGGCAATGTGGCCAAAGTGGGATTGGGGTTTAAAGCTGGTAAACCTGGCTCCAGAGAACCAAGGGCAGATTTGAAGAACAGTGGGAACAGGCAAGAAGGAGACCCCTGAGAAAAGGGTCAGGCTCACCCTGGAGGAAAGGAAGAAGTAGAGAATGTCCACTGGGGGAGGCTGCTCTGCCAGCATTCCTGGCAGGAATCAGATGAGCCAAGGTCTCCTCCTCTCTGACCAGCCCAGCCTCCTACCCCATCATGCTCTGTGACCCAAGGCAGCCCCTACCCCTCTCCTGATCCCAACCAACTTCCCCTTTGGGTTCTGTGGAGCTCAGGGACAGGGCACCAGGAGGAAGTAATGCCCACCCTGGCTGCACTCTGAGCACAGACTTTCAAGGATGGCCTCCGGTTCCCCACCTGGAGCCTGGCCCTGCCCTCCCACCTGGCCCACCTCTACCTGCCCAGCCCAGAGCCTGCTGGGCCCTGCTGCTGCCGCTCTGAGGCAGACCATGTTCTGTGGATGAAAGGCCAGTGACTCCTTTCAGCCTCCCCACCCCCCTTCAGAGCCAGGTGGTTAATATATAACCAGGTGTGTTATCTGAGGAACCTAGACCATAAACTGGCCCGATGATGTCACTTGGCTTCTCGCCTGGATGCTGCCAAACCGGCTCTTGTGGGCCCTGGGAAAAGTAGAGGGTCCACAGACAAGGGCTAGGTCAGCTAGGGGCAGTGTTCTTCTGGCTGAGTTGGAGGCTGGCACCCTCTAGCACCGCCCCCTTGCTCTGGGACCACACAGGCTCCCACGAAGCCCCTGCGTGCTGGGGCTCTCATCCTGACATTTGGGTCTAAAGGCCTCCAAGTCCCCCTTCCCTTCCCCCATCACAGCTGCTCACCAGCCGCACTGTCAGGCTGAGTCCTGCCCAGGCTTGGTCTACTAGGGGTCCCCACGGGGAGCCTGGGGTCAGGTTAGCACAGGGCCATGCACTCCAGGATCATTGAGGGATTGCCAGACCTCTGACCTGGCCCCTCTGTCACCCACCTTCTGATCTTGCCTTTGCACCTCTGCAAAATGAGGGCAAAACATCCATCTAAGAAGGTAGAAGATTGCTGGAGCCCCGGGCAGGAACATCCCCAGGGCCTGATCCTGGGCAGGGCAGCCCCAAGCCTCTGGACCTCAACTCTCCAGGGTGGACTTTGCTTGTGGAGGCAGAGGAGAATCGGGGTCCTTCCCTCTCCCTCCCCCCGAAACCAGTCAAGCCTTTGGCTGCTGGGAGGGGCGGTGCCTTTGAGAAGCTGAAGACAAAGAGGAAGCCCTGAGTGCCCCCTCCTACCCCCCGGGTTCTGAAAGCCACGTCAGCCTGCAGGGCAAGCAGCTCTCCTTTCTAGAAACAGAAACTTGAGCCCATCAGGCCTTTGGGGGTGGGGAGGGCAGCTGCAGATGCTTCTAAAATTGAGGGAAGGGGCTTCAGGGGCACAGAGAGCAGGAATTCCAGGCTTAAGGGACACCTGCTGTCTGGCCAGCCTGGGCCATTTGCCTTTTTACCTTGGTTTATGGGTCTAAAAAAATGCTGACTGGGAACAGGTCAAAGCACGCCAAGGTGAGGGAGGGACGAGGCAGAAGTCCCCTCTGCGGTAACCAGGGGACAGCCAAGTGAGACTCCACACCCTTTGGTGAGCACATAGGCAGAGATGAACAGACTTGTCCTCCTTTGGGCCTTTGCTCCAGTGCACGTTCCTCGGGGCACCAAGTACCCCGGAATTCCTTGCTCTGCCCTGCCCGCTCTGCACCCAGCTCCTCCCATCTCCTGACGTTATTTCCTTCACTTAGCCGCTTGCTTATGGCCAGTCTTCCGCAGCAGCAGTGCAATGTTCACCTTGCTGCCCACAGAGCTCACTGCGCAGTCCTGGAGGAATTTTGTTAAATATACATATAGATAAGGGTTTCTTCCTTCCTTCCTCTATTCATGAAGCAACGTATGATGGACATAAACCACACAAGCTCCGACTCACTCTTTTTAACAGCTGCATGGTATTCCACACTGGGGACATGCCTTCCTACCCCTGCCATTCTTCAAGTGATGGGCATCGAGTTATATCCAGGTTTGTTTTTCCCACTACACATCCCTTGGTCTATCTGCGACGAGAAATGAGGCTGTCCTTTCTATAAGCTGGATTCCTAGAAGTGGGACTGCTGGGTCATGGAGTACAAACATTTTTAATTTTAGAAGATACTGCCAAATTACTTTCCAAAAAGGATGTAGCAATTCACAGTTGCAGTGTGAATGCCTGTCTCTCCATATTCCAGCCCCAAGCCAACACTGGCTGGTGTCAATCTTTTACATTTTTGCCAATCTAGAGGTAGTGGAAGGAATAGTTATTATTTTAATTTGCATGATTCTGATTTTTAATGAGTTAAAAAAAACCCTCACATATGCTTATTGTTTGTTAGCGTTTTCTCCCTTCTTTGCCAAGTCTCTGGGAACTCCTGTGGGGGTGGGGTGGTGAGAGGAACCTGTTCCCTGTGGAGAAGGCCCAGGGCTAGGGTCTAGAGAATGAGACTTCACACTCTCCAGCGGCCTCTCTGGGCCACGGCGTTCCTTCATCTACCAGGAGGCTCTGGGCCCGCGGGTCGGGGTGGGGGGTGGTGGGGGGGCTGGGGGGTGTCTCTGTCTCGGATGCCCCAGAGCCCGGAAACGTGTCCAAGGTCATGGCACCGTGGGTGCCGCCGGGCTGGGCCGCAGCCAGAATGCAACTATCGCACACCTTCGCTCTGCGCCAAGATCACCCGGGAGACGCTTGCGGGCACCTTGAGGAAGGTCGGCGGCTCGGGGCCAGCTCGGACAGGGCGAGGGGAGAGGGCGGGGAGAGGCAATACCTGCTGCGGAACCCGGGCCTCTGTTGCTCGGCCCCTCGCCGCGGCCGCCGCGAGGACTGGCGGGGCAAGGAAAGGCAGGAGCTGGGGTGCAGACGAGCCCGGGCGTCCTCAAGTGCCCGGTGGCTTTCCTGCCTCAGTTTCCCGCCCGGAGGCAGTGGGGGTGGGGGGAGTAACTCCAGGATGTCCAACGGCCTGAGGTTCTTGTTTCGGGGTCCTGGGTGGGTGCCGGGCGGGGTAGGCTGGCTGCGCGGGGTCCCGGCGAGGGGACAGTCGGGGTGGGCAGCCTAGGGGGTTGTAGGGGGCTGAGGGCAGCGGACAAAGCGGCGGCACCACCCCGCAGCGCGGGCCAATTGAATGAATGGGCTATAAATAGTGGCCAATGGGCGGCCCGCGTTGCGTCCCTTAAGAGCCGCGGGAGCGCGGAGCGGCCGCTGTTCGCCTGCGCCGCGCCCGGAGCTGCCGACGGACCCAGCACCCCCACCCCTGCCCGGCCGCCCGGTGAGTGGGCCCAAGGGCGGCCGCGCTGGGCGCGGGAGCCAGGGCGCTGCGCACGGAGTGGGCGCAGGGTCCCGGGCATCACGCGCTCCGGGCGCGCCAGGGCAGGCCGCCTGGAGCGCGCGCGCCGGCTGGGCCGGGGGTCCTGGGCAGTGCGGGCGCCCCAATGCGCGCGCTGCAGACCCCGCTGACCTTGGCTGCATCCCGGGGTGGCTGGGGGCCGGGGCCGTGGGTGGTTTGCAGGTCCCTAGGAGGCCCAGTGCGCCGAGTCCCCGCTGATCCCCGCGTCTCCCCGCAGCCCGCCGCCGCCATGCCCTTCTCCAATAGCCACAACACGCTGAAGCTGCGCTTCCCTGCCGAGGACGAGTTCCCCGACCTCAGCGGCCACAACAACCACATGGCCAAGGTGCTGACCCCCGAGCTGTACGCTGAGCTGCGAGCCAAGAGCACGCCGAGCGGCTTCACGCTGGACGACGTCATCCAGACCGGCGTGGACAACCCGGGTACGCGCGCCCCAGTCCCAGGGTCAGGGTGCCGGTGCCTTATCCACAAGACACCCCCGGGACGAAGGTCCAGTGCCCCACTTCCCTCAAGCAGCCGCAGGGTCCTCAGCTGCTCGCTCAGGCCTGGCAGTGACGTCATTGTCCCCATTCCTCGTCCCCCCCAGGCCACCCCTATATTATGACCGTGGGCTGCGTGGCGGGCGACGAGGAGTCGTACGACGTGTTCAAGGAGCTCTTTGACCCCATCATCGAGGACCGGCACGGCGGCTACAAGCCCAGCGACGAGCACAAGACCGACCTCAACCCCGACAACCTGCAGGTGCGGGGCGGCCCAGGGCGGCGGGGCGTTTTGGGGAGGGATCTCCCGGCTCTCACCCCCTCTCGGCCCCCAGGGCGGCGACGACCTGGACCCCAACTACGTGCTGAGCTCGCGAGTGCGCACGGGCCGCAGCATCCGCGGCTTCTGCCTCCCCCCGCACTGCAGCCGCGGGGAGCGCCGCGCCATCGAGAAGCTCGCGGTGGAAGGTAGGGGTCGGGCGGGCCGGGCGCCCCTCCCTGTCTCCGTCTCCGTCCCCGTCCCCGTCCGGGACCCCGTTCCAGTCCCCGCCCGGCTTGTTTACCAGTCACCCGAACCACCGCCGCCACCGCCGCGCTCTTATCTGTGCGCCGGGTCCGGTTTCCTAGAGGGACAGAGGCACGGGGTCCGGCCCCGCGCCTACAGCGGCCTGGGACCCAGCGAGGGCCGGGGTCACCGCCTCAGACCGCCGCCCGGACCGCGTAGACTGGGCTCCCACAGAACCAGGAGGGCATGGGGAGGTGGGGCGGGTCCCTGACGCTGGGTGGTAGGGGTGTGTGGGGGGGGCCGGAGCTTGCCCGCCTGTCCTCCTGAGCGGGCTCCTCCGCAGCCTTGTCGAGCCTGGACGGCGACCTGACGGGCAGATACTACGCGCTCAAGAGCATGACCGAGGCGGAGCAGCAGCAGCTTATCGACGACCATTTCCTCTTCGACAAGCCTGTGTCGCCCCTGCTGCTGGCCTCGGGCATGGCTCGAGACTGGCCAGACGCCCGCGGCATCTGGTGCGTGCCCCCTCCCGCGAGGCCCCCATCTTCTCTCCTCTACCTTCTCCCTCCTCCCTTTTACCCTCCCCTTGCCGAGGACGAGGAGGCGGAGGGAGGGGCCGCACTCCTGGTACAGGTTTGGTGCCGCCCAGGCCTCCTCGAAGGTGACCTTGACCTGACCACGCAGGTGTATAAAGGGATCCCAGCTGGTGGAGGCCTCGGCCTCTCGGGATCTTAGAGGTGGGGGACAGGTCGTGTTGGCTTCTCTTCTCCATTCCCTCTTGGGAGCTGGAGCTTCTTGTTTTCTCTCTTCTTTCTCAACCGCTTCCCCGCCGGGACTCTGCCAGGTGCTGGGTGACGCAGATGCTTCCTCAAGGAGGGGCAAGGAGCGGGAGGGCTTACAACCTCCTGCTCCCTGTGCAGGGTCTGTGTAGAGTGGGCTTCAGCACCCATACAGCGCTTCCCTGCCTGGAGATGGGGGGCTGTCCTGGCTGTCCCCGCCACTTAACTCCTAGGTGGGGACCTTGTCTCCCTCACCGCACCCATTCCACACAGCACAAGGCTGGGAGGCTGGGAAGCAGCTCAGGGCTTGTTTTGTACCCTGAGGTGGCCTGGCCTCCCTGCCTGCCTCTAGCATGTGGATGCTCCTGGGTACAGCTGGAATGAGAACCTCAGGGAGTTGGGAAGTTCTTCAGGTTTGGGGACCCCTTGAGTTTTTTCCTGGATGTGTCCTGAGACCATAGTCCAGGGAGGAAGCTTGACTATGCCCCTCCTCCAGGCACAATGACAATAAGACCTTCCTGGTTTGGATCAACGAAGAGGACCACCTGCGGGTCATCTCCATGCAGAAGGGGGGCAACATGAAGGAGGTGTTCACCCGCTTCTGCAACGGCCTCACCCAGGTCAGGCCTGGCCACCCCCAACCCAGGCTGGCACTTTAGGGGCTTGGTGCCAGGGAAGGGGCAGGGCCAGACTCCAGCGCTCAGGCAGGGATGTAGGTGCCCCATCTGTCCCCCTGGGGAACCCAGGTCTCAGTCACCTCAGGGTCCTGCCAGGGGGCTCCCGGGTCCCAGTCCCACCTTCTCTGGCTGGTCCCCTGGGGGTTTGTCTCAGCCAGTTCTCCCCTCTCACGCCTTCTCCACCTCCAGATTGAAACGCTCTTCAAGTCTAAGAACTATGAGTTCATGTGGAACCCTCACTTGGGCTATATCCTCACCTGCCCCTCCAACCTTGGCACGGGGCTGCGGGCAGGTGTCCACATCAAGCTGCCCCACCTGGGCAAGCATGAGAAGTTCCCCGAGGTGCTCAAGCGGCTGCGGCTTCAGAAGCGAGGCACAGGTAAGTGGGGCAGGGGCTGCAGGCAGTCCTCTTCCCCTGGGGCAGCCCCTCCACAGCCTGCTGACCTTACTGCCTCCCCAGGTGGTGTAGACACAGCGGCTGTGGGTGGGGTCTTCGATGTCTCCAACGCAGACCGCCTGGGCTTCTCGGAGGTGGAGCTGGTGCAGATGGTGGTGGATGGCGTGAAGCTGCTCATTGAGATGGAGCAGCGGCTGGAGCAGGGCCAGGCCATTGATGACCTCGTGCCCGCCCAGAAGTGAAGTCCTGGCCTGCACCTGCCACCGCCACCAGCCCCGCTGCTTCCTAACTTATTGCCTGGGCAGTGCCCGCCATGCACCCCTGATGCTCGCTGCCTAGCAGCTGAGCCTTTAGCCTCGCTGTAGAGACTTCTTCCTTCACCCTTGGTAGAGTTTATTTTTGTGATGGCTAAGACGTTGCTGATGCTGAAATAAACTAGGGTTTTGGCCTGCCCTGAGTGTCTGAGTGGTACTTCCCCTTTCCAGGGGCAGCCCAGGCCCTGGAAGCCAGGCCATGGGGGCCTGAGTCCTGGGTCTGCCCTTTCTGCTTCACTTCTGTAAGATGGGACTAGGCAGGAGGCAGTCTCTCTGCCATGCCCACCCAGTTCTATTCCATGAACTCCTCCTTGTCATCCTGTCTACTTGGCTTCCCTGCAGGCCTGGGGTGGGTTGGTGGGCGAAGTACAGGGAGAGGGAGGAGATCCAGGGTGGCAGAGCCCCAATCTGAGCATCTAAGGGCATTTGGAACTGGCGGGTGGAGCCTGGCACTTTACTCAGCCTCATCCTGTGGCGTGGAGGATGTGTGGATGGCTGTGAGTGGGGGCGGGAGCCCAGAAACTTGATACCTTTCCGGTCCTCCACTCCCCCAAGTCACTCCCCTACAACCCTATTCCTCCTTGTGCCTCCTTCTGTCTGAAGGCCACCTCTCCTCCCCTCCCCAACACTTCTCTGTCTCCTAAATGATCTCTCCCCTCCACTTCCCTCCCAGCTTCTACTCAGGCTGAACTTTTCCCTCACTGGCCCCCAAGCCTGGCCCAGCCCTCCAGTCCCTTCCAGGAAACCCAGGGGCCCCTTGGCCTCCCATGGTGGGTCCCCACCATAGGCTCCCCGGGCAGGACGGCGGTTGGGGCTGTTCAGGGCACAGTCTCCTTGGTCTCGGTTTCCCAGCCCACCCACCCCAGCTGCCAATACCACCTGGCCTCTCACTCAGGAGCCCCGCCACAGGTGGGCACCCTGAGGGGCTCAGCCAGGGCTTGGGGAGCCTAAGTGGGACCAGTGAGCCAGCCAAGGGCCCAGGCTTGTCTTCCTTCTGCTCCTCAGCTCTGCGGACAGTCTGTGCTGCCACCTGCTGGCCAGAGCCCCCTCTGTCCTTCCACACTCCCACCCCCCAACAGGGTCTGAGGCATCCCAACTCTTTGTGCTTTGGCCAGGCAGGCCTTACCCTGCCGAGGTTACTCCATAACTGGGAGGAGAGAAGCTGGGCATGGCCTCCACACCTACCGTATCCTGCGCTGGGCAGTCTTGTCCACTAAAGATTGTGGACTAATGGACTCTCATGCCCCAGGTTTGGGGGCAGCTTGTCAACCCAGACCCTGAAGCCCAGGACAAGTAGGTTAGGGGGCAGCAATGGAGTATGAGCTGCAGGAGGTGTGTCCTGGCTCAGTGTCCAGGCTAGGTCTGGGGAGCCCATCCAGGCAGTGTCCACACTGGGGAGGGCTTGAAGGAGCCTTTGTCGGGCAAGGGGCATGGGCCCTGAGACTGGGCTGAATGAACACCTGGGTGGGCTAGGCATAGTAGGGGGCAGGACCTCTGATGCACAAGGCTGGTGGGAGGGGGGGGTCTCTTGCCCCCATCCTTTGGGTCCCAGGCTGGCACCCAGCCCCCTCCCCCTGGGAGCCAGGGCCAGCTCTGGGCTTGCCCTTTTGCCTTGAAGGTCTTCGGCAGGCCAGGGGCACACATCAGCTGGAGGGCTGGAGGCTGGCTCAGACAGTGACTTGTTGACTGTAGATTCTGGTGACTAGGGAGAAAGGGTTGTGATGAGCACAGGGAGTGTGCCCCTCTGGAAAGGCCTTGCCATGCAGGGAGGGGAGGCTGAGAGCAGTGCAGAAGAGATGGCAGGAACAGTGGGAAGCCCTTCCCAGCTACTCCTGGAGCCGCTCAGAGGCTCTGCTGTGCCCATGAGCCACACAGTGACAGCACATGGGCCTGTCCGCTTGCACCCATCCCTGGGGCCCTTGCCCATGCTCCCTCCAGCCAAAGGCCCTCCAGCTTGCTCAGGCCCCCTCGCCACCGATTGGGCTGAGCCTGGGGGGGAAAGGGGATGGGCCTCTGTCCCCACCCCACCCTGAGAGGTGCATAAGTACCTGAGGGGCCTGGTCAGGCAGGCACATCACTTCTCCACAAAGAAAATGTTTCAACCCTCCTCACCGCTGGGACTGTCAGAACAGGGCATACCCAGAACTACCAGTGGTCATGTCAAATGAGCTGAAATCTCCAGTTGTGCTGTGTAGGCCTCTCAACACGCCACTTAGGAAGGCCCAGAAGGTGCAGGGCGTGGCTTAGGATTTCTTCTGAGGCAGTAAAGCCACCCCCTTGGAGCTTGAAAGGCAGAGGCATGAGCCCCAACCCTCCTCACCTGGCCCTCAGCTGGCTGAGGCACCTGGGCTCTCTCCGGAACCTGGTGGGGCAAGCGCCCTCTGTGGGCACCTCAGGCCCTGCTCCCTAGGGCCATAGGGAGAAGCCTCTTCTACACCTGACTTCTTTTTGTTTTTTTAAGATTTTATTTTTCCTTTTTCTCCCCAAAGCCCCCTGGTACATAGTTATATATTTTTAGTTGTGGGTCCCTCGAGTTGTGGCATGTGGGATGTCGCCTCAGCATGGCCTGACAAGCGGTGCCATGTCTGCACCCAGGATCCGAATCAGCGAACCCCAGGCCGCCGCAGGAGAGTGCGAGATCTTAACCGCTTGGCCCCTACACCTGACTTCCTGGCTTGCACTTGAAACCACTGCTGCTCTCCTGAGCCACTTGTTTTTCTACCCGTAATTTTCCCTTTGCCTCAATTTTCTTTCTCATTTATTTTAACTTGCTCTATCACATGCACTCCTGTAAGCTGTGCTAGTTCTTTTCGGGACAAGGCAGGGCTTACTATACATTCAGGGGGGCTCTGAGTGCTGACCTCTGCTCAGCAGTCCATGGACCCTTTGACCAGAGTCCCTACAACCTCCCCCTTTCCCGGGATTCCAGAAACTTTTGAAGAGGGTGAGTTTAATTTTCTTTGAAATCAGTCAAACATGGGCAGTCTAAGAAACACCTTACCACAGGACAGGATCGTGGGAAGGCACTTTTATTCATTCACTGTCTTCGGTGAAGTACACCCATGAGTAACACTGACAGCATTCACACCTGTGACTCCACCTTGGCCCGGATGGAAATGATCCCACAGCAGGGTTTCTCAACTGCAGCACCACTGACACCTGGCGGGGTGATTCTGTGGGGGGCCACCCCTGGGCACCACTGACACCTGGCGGGGTGATTCTGTGGGGGGCTACCCCTGGGCACCACTGACACCTGGCGGGATGATTCTGTGGGGGGCCACCCCTGGGCACCACTGACACCTGGCAGGGTGATTCTGTGGGGGGCCACCCCTGGGCCTTGCTGGACTTCAGCAGCACCCCTGGCCTCCAACCTCCAGATGCCAGCAGTATTACCCACCCCTCCTTGTGACAATGAAAATGTCTCCAGACATCGTCAAATGTCCCGGGAGGGCCAAAATCGCCCCCTGCCTCTTTGAGAACCACTGGCCTACAGAAATAATTAAGAGATACAGTTACTTAGAATAGGGAAGAATGGGTCAGGGCTGCGAACAATAAAGGCTTGGTTAAAAACCAGGACATCTCCCTCGATGAGGCACCGCGCAGGCATCCCCAACAGAACTGACTGAGATGGCGACATGCTTAAAAAAGCTGAAGTGTAAAAGCAGGTTATACAACAGCTTGTCCTCTGAGATCCCACACAGAACACGTATGGAAAAATCCCTGAGAACTGTAGTTAACTGTGGGCGGTCGGGGAACAGGTGATTTCCTTCTTTATACTTTATTTTCCAAATTTTCTGCAGTGAACATGTATTACTTATATAACCCAAAACAAATCTTTTTTAAAGTGGCGTTTTTAAAAAAATGCTCTGTGTCACAGTTCGTGGGAGACTATTGAGGTAGCAGGACTTCATGCCACCACCCCTCATGTGCTCTTCACAAACTTCTCACCACTCCTGAGGCTTCCCCACAGACAGGGAAATTGAGGCAAAGAGAGGGAGACTGGCTCAGGGTCACTAGTGAGATCATCCAGTTCCAAGTCCTGGGCTCTTTTCACTGCTCTTTGACTTTTCAGAACATTCTAGACCTCTCATGTGCAGGACCCCCTTCTCTTAGCAGTAACTGAGCAGGTGGCAGTTGCCTGGAAGTTTCCTTATTCTGAATTTTTTTTTTTTTTTGAGGAAGATTAGCCCTGAGCTAACATCTACTGCCAATCCTCCTTTTTTGTTTTGCTGAGGAAGACTGGCCCTGAGCTAACATCTGCTGCCAATCCTCCTTTTTTGTTTTGCTGAGGAAGACTGGCCCTGAGCTAACATCCGTGCCCATCTTCCTCTACTTTATATGTGGGATGCCTGCCACAGCATGGCTTGCCAAGCGGTGCCATGTCCGCACCCGGGATATGAACCAGCGAACCCTGGGCCACCTAAGCGGAGCATGTGCACTTAACTGCTGTGCCACCCGGCAGGCCCCTGAATTTCTATTTGGAGCCGCCGGTGCCTACAGCAAAGCCTCCTAAAGCCCGCTGCGGGTTGCACACTGCACTCACATGGATTCTGATCTAATTTCCTTTTCCATAGGTAACAAAGGGAAACAATCTTTTGACTGGTAAGAAGTCATCTTTCTGGCTGTGAGGTTTTGGAGCAGGAGACAGCATTTCAGTTTGGAGAACTGAGGCTTTTTACATGTGAACTGGATGACAAAAATCCTCATTCCAAGTGTGGCTAGAGGCTTTCTGCAGGGGTCCTCCACAGCATGTGGACTCTTTCCACTTCTCTCGCCAAACCTGTCTTTGCATAATACGTCCTGCTTTGCTAAAGACACAGAGAAGTGAAAATGTTCTGCTTGGTTTCAGAAGTCCTGATTTTCACACCCTTCTTGGGGGCTTGTCAAAATTTAAGCCTTGACTTAAATAATTAACCTTAAGACCCAGAAAAGCATTCCTTCTAGCTCCTCAGGTTTCTGCCAAATCTTTGAGCAGAGACAGCTGCTTGTCTCCCAGCAGCCATTCTCCCCTTCTGCTTTTGTTTTTGAGCAAAACCCTGGTTTTGAGCCTGGCACACAGCTCCAGTTAGAGGAGCATATTTCCAAGATTCTCTGGCAGCAGCCATAGCCATGGATTTTTAAAACGCTCCAGTGGCCAT